TTTTTATTTATCTTTGAGAGACAAAGACAGAGCACTAGTCAGGGAGGGGCAGAGAGAGAGGGAGACACAGAATCCCAAGCAGACTCCAGGCCCTGAGCTGTCAGCAATGAGCCTGATGCAGGGCTAGAACTCATGAACCCAAGATCATGACCTGAGCTGAAGCTGGACACTTAACCGACTAAGCCACCGGGGCGCCCCCCTGAGACCACTATTCTAACCTCTACCTCCTCTATACGTCATTTTTCCCTATTCACCAATTTATATAAACAGATAGCTTATCAAACAGTATGTACTCATGTGTCTGGCTTCCTTCACTCATCGTTACGTTTTTAAGATTGATCCATTCTGTTGTCTGTATCAGTAATTTATTCTTTTTTATTGCTGTGTGATATTCTATTGTGGGAATGTATCACGATTTATGGTTGACCTTTGAACAACTTGGGTTTGGACCGCATGAGTCCACTTATATGAGGATTTTTTTTTCCTTTTTTCTTTCTTCTTCTTCTTTCTTCTTCTTCTTCTTCTTCTTCTTCTTCTTCTTCTTCTTCTTCTTCTTCTTCTTCTTTTTTGAGAGAAAGAGAGGGGAGGGGTAGAGAGGGAAGGAAAGAGAGAGAATCCTAAGCAGGCCCCACGCTGTGAGCGCAGAGCCCGATGTGGGGCTCAAACTTACAAACCATGAGATCATGACCTGAGCCGAAACCAAGAGTCAGACGCTTAACCAACTGAGCCACCCAGGTGCCCCTATGAGGATTTTTTTCAATAAATATATGTACAGTAGTGTATATATATTTTTTCTTCGTTATGATTTTCTTAGTAACATTTTCTTTTCTCTAGCTTACTTTATTATAAGAATACAAAAATAATACACATAACATACACAATATGTGTTCATCAACTACATTATCAGTAAAGCTTCTGTCAACAGTAGGCTATTAGCAGTTAAGTTTTGGGGGAGAGAAAAACTATATGCAGATTTTCAACTGTGCATTGTTCAAGAATCAACTGTATTTATCTGTATTCTTATTGAATCAATATGAGCTATTTCCAGTTTGGAATAATGCTGCTCTGAGGATTCTCTTGGTGATTATAAGCCCTCATTTCTATTGAATAGGTATCCAGAAGCGGAATTCCTGTGCCATAGGGTAAATGTATGTTTAGCTTCAATACGTACTACCAAACTGCTTTCCAAAGTCACCGTGCTGCCCCAACCGAAATATATGAGAGTTCCATTTTTTCCTTATTGTCATCAGCACTTGAAATCAAGAATCCTTTTCATTTTAGCCCCATTGGTAAGAATGTAATGGCCTCTCGCATTTGTGTTACCCTGATGACTGTTGATGCTTAGTGCCTTTATGCTTCTCAAACGTTGAGGTACTTTCTTTTGTGAAGTAACTGTTTAGGTTACTTTTTTTTTTTTTTGTCATTTAAAAACATTGTGCTGTCTTTTTCCTACTGATAGAAATTCTTTATAGATTATAGATACATGTCTTGTGTTGGAGATCTGTATTGCAAATGTCTTCTCTCAGTCTGAGTTGTCTTTTCATTCTCTTAATGATTTCTTTTGACAAAGGAAAAATTTTAATTTTAAGAAAATCCAATTGATCGATTTTTTAAATTTATGGGTGGTGCTCTTGTGTCGATTCTAATAGATATAGTATCTTTTAGTATGGTCTATTCTAAAAGATCTTTGCCTATCTCAAAGTCATGAAGATATATATTTCTGTTTTCCTCTATAAACTTTACTGTTTTGGGGCACCTGGGTGGCTCAGTAGGTTAAGCGCCTGACTTCAGCTCAGGTCATGATCTCATGGTTTGTGAGTCCGAGTCCCACGTCAGACTCTGTGCTGACAGCTCAGAGCCTGGAGCCTGCTTCAAATTCTGTGATTCCCCCTCTCTCTGCCCCTCCCATGCTCATGCTCTGTCTCTGTCTCTAAATAATAAATAAACATTAAAAAATTTAAAAAATAAAAACTTCACTGTTTTAGCTTTCACATTTAGGTGTTTTTGTATGATATGAGGGAGGGGCCAATGTTCTTTTTTATCTCCCAAAGGACATCCAGTTAACCCAGAACTCTTTCTCAAAAAAACACAACCCTTTTCCCCATGAATTGTAGTGGAAATTTTGTCATAAATCAGATGATCATACATATGGGAATCAGTTAATGCATTTTTTGTTTTTTTTAGTGTTAATAAGTTATGATTCTTCATAAGAATTATTACATATTCTTCACAAAGATTTTTAATGGCACAAATTTTTCATACTTCGATAATTAATATTCAATTGGGTACTTTATTTAATAATTCCAATATTGTTGGGCACTTAAGTTGTTTATAACTTAGGGATATTAGTCATTATATTATAAACATTATCTTTTAATGGAACAAAATTAATATATCACAGTTATTTTGCTCTTATCTGACAACTAAGCAGATTGACTGTTTTCCCACATGTCCTGACCTGTGTTAATATGTTTTTCCATTTATTTGCAAGTGTCCTTTTCTGTTATCAATTCTCTATATCTAATAAAGATCTTAAACTTGAGTGCACATTTATTAAAAAACTTCTTCCCTCCGTCTGCTTGCTATCTATTTCTTTTAAGCATTCAGAAAGAAGTTTAAACACTTTATATTAAATTTGGCCATTGTTTTCTTTGTGATTTCTTAGATTACCTCTAAGCTTAGGAAGGTCGTCCCTCTCCAAGATCTTCATGAAAATACAACTCTCTTTTTTTTCTCTCAGTTTTCCCTGTTTGATTTTTAAAGACATCTATCTAGAATTATCATGATATATGGCAGACTTTACGGGTATCTCCATGAGTGTTTGAAATACTCATTTTGTTGTAAAGGGTAAAATTATATTTAAAAATCTTCTGAGGTTTGTATTTTTAAAATTTTGAAGAGGAGAAGGTAAAGCCTTTTTAGTAAAGGACTGCAACCAGTTTTTTTTTAATGTCCAAACCTTGTGGGGACTTCTGGAACAGTATTTGGAAAGAGAACTGAGAAAGAGGTAGCAGAGCTAAACAGTAACAACAAAGTCAAGCAAGTAGTTGAGTCACTGAGTATCCTGACTAAGTGGAGGCAGGTAGAGGAAGGGCTGGGTAGGGGGAAAGAAAAATAGCAAAACCCTGTCTCTTGTGGCCTGTGATAGAAAAAGTTTACTACTGACTTTACAAATCCAGCTTGGGAGCTTGAGTCTAAGGGCCACCTCCCCCATGCAGGTCCCCTGGATTGGTCATTCTACCTAACTGCAGTCAGAGGTGAAGGGCCTCTTCTGGATAAAGCAACAGAGAGAGACAGAAAAAAAAGTGTGCCCTAAAATAAGAGCAACCGGGATCAGTGTGGTATTTTTTTGACACATTCATCTTTGTCCTGGTTGCTCCTTGTGGTGGCACCAGGTATGGCTGGCCAGATGACAGCTCAAGCTTTTGCTGTGGTGTGACCTCCTTCCTCCCTGCTTTGGTTTCATTTCTCTGACTGAGCTGACCTCAGTCGTCACAACATAGGGGGGACTCGCCAACGTCTGCCTCCTACTCTACTTCCCGTGCGCTAGGACAACACACTGGGCTCTGGACAGTCTTCTTTCCCCCTTCTTCCTCTCATTGAGACAGTAGGTGGGAAAGAGGGTCGGCCAACTAGGGAAGAGACCTAAGATAAATGAGGGTCGAGGCTTAGTCACCAAACACAGAACCTTTTTTTTTCTTTTCTTTTTTTTTTTTTTAAATTCTTTTAATGTTTTATTTATTTTTGAGAGAGAGACAGAGACAGCATGAGCAATGGAGGGTCAGAGGGAGAGACACAGAATCTGAAACAGACTCCAGGCTCTGAACTAGCTGTCAGCACAGAGCCATATGTGGGGCTCAAACCCATGAACCGTAAGATCATAGCCTGAGCCGAAGTTGGACGTCTAACTGACTGAGCCACCCAGGTGCCCCCACAGAACCCTTTTTTAAAAAAACTAATTGCTAAACTGATGAATTACATGTTCAGAAACACGTGTTGTGCTGATAAGTTCTTCCTGTTAGCAATAGTGAGGCCAGAGGAGCTTCACCCATGTTTGTCAAAATATTTGTTATCCTCTGACCATTACCAGGTGAGCTTGTTGAAAATGCAGATTACTGGGCCCATCCCAGATCTATTAAGGCAGCATCTCTGAGAGTAGGACCCGGACGGCTAGTTCTTAACACCTCCTCAAATGATTGTAATAAACACTAAAGAGAGCTACAGGACTGCATTTAAGGCACTATGAGGCCAGGGCGCCTGGGTGGCTTAGTCAGTGAAGCGTCCGACTTTCACTTAGGTCATGATCTCGCGGTTCGTGGGTTCGAGCCCCACGTCGGGCTCTGTGCTGACTGCCAGCTCAGAGCCTGGAGCCTGTTTCAGTCTGTGACTCCCTCTCTCTCTCTGACCCTCCCCTGCTCACGCTGTCTCTCTCTCTCTCTCTCCTAGGAAAAAAAAAGACATTATGAGGCCAACACGAGTCAAATGTCCTTGGAGTCTTTACTTGTATCCATTTCTCTTTTGTTTCATTCCCATCCTAATGTTCCAGTTTCATGACATAACTTTTGAAATCAAATTTAAACAGCTCTAAAGTATACACCATTCATTACATTCTGCTTTAATTATAATGTTAATTGCTCCATGTCTGCTAGCATGACACCATTTACTGGAAGTACTAAAGTTGGATAGGCCCTGCTAACCTCCTAAATTCAGCCTCTTTGCTAATTATGTAAAAACTTGTTTGGTGTCTATATCCTGGTTGAGGTGAGCCTTACCATGCCTAGAATTACCTGGTCTAGTCTCCCATCCATGCGGAAGAATGACTACTTTTTAGCTGCATGCTAAGGTCTAAGAAAATACCACTCTTCTGCATGAGTGGAAGCCTAGACCAGATAGTTCTAGATGTGGTAAAGCAATTTAGATCCAAGAGAGGAAGCCCACATCTTCAGCCCCTCATCCCTGGTCTTTAGCTCATGAGAGTCTTCCTTCTCTTTCTACTTTAGCCCTGGGCCCTGCAGAAATTGCCCTCACAGTCATTATGACTTTGCTTGCCCTGGGCTCGGTCACCATCTTCCTGGAGGACGCTGTCTACCTGTACAAGAACACCCATTGCCCCATCAAGAGGAGGACTTTGCTCTGGAGCAGTTCTGCACCCACGGTGAGGGCCTTGGAGCTGCCCTTTGTGTGTGTGTGGCGGGGGGGGAGAGCTAAACAAGAGACAGGAACCATTCTGGAAATTCCTCTAAACTCAGCATTTCAGGCTAGCAAAAGGTTGCCTGCCTCTACCCACTTAAGAGGGGGGCTTGTAATGAGAGCTCCACTTGCAGTCAGGACCCCATGCTTGGGTCAGCAGGCAGTGGGACTGAGAGTTTGAATTCTTAGAGCCACAGAGACAGCTGGAGAAACTGCTCGGCCCACCAGCAGCCCCATTCACTGCTTCCCAGCATAGTATTACTGTTAAAGGCAAGCGTCCTTCCTGCACAGGCAGGTGGTGGTTCCTCAGACGGGAGGGAGGGAAAGAAATGTTTTTCCCATGAGGACAACTCACCTCTATAGGCCTTAACCCACTCTCGTAGCCATTATATAGGTCTCTGAATTGCTCCCAGGCCATAAGATTAGACTTCTGTTTCCTTGTGGTAAGGCCTGTGTGTGTGTGTCTGGGGTGGAGAATGGAGCCCTTGAGGTCCTTTTCTAGCAGATGACACCTGCCTGGGCCGTCTCAAGGCATCAGAGATGCTCTAGTCACATATGGCATTGAAAAGGAAGGGCTGGATCTTGATCCAATTCCTCCTAAGGATGAACTCACCAACTCTTAGTCCAGGGATATAGATGAGATAGATAGTCTTCAAAATGACATTTTGACTTAAGTGACCAGCCGCCTCTAACCCTACATATAGAAGGAGCTGACTACTGAACTGACTACTGAATTTAAAAAAAAAAGGAAGCTTAAACAAAATTAGCTGATTTGATTATTTTTCCAGCTGGCCACTTTTAAGTAATGCTGCCTCATGTGTTCAGTTTTGCCCCTTGAGCCTTTGCCACAAGAAGTTTGAGAGGGTGAGCACAGTTTCCCTTCGTGCCCCAACCAGCTTCTTGCTTGTCCCCAAGCAGGTTGTGTCTGTGTTCTGCTGCTTCGGTCTCTGGATCCCTCGTTCCCTCATGCTTGTGGAAATGGCCATAACTTCGTGAGTGTCCTGCCCCACCCCCAGCTCTGAGGTGGGTACCATTTTCTCCCTACTCACCCAGGGCTCCAGAGTCTGCATCTTCTTTTATCCCCTGTCCCTTCCATAAATCCCTGCAAATCAATTGATCATGAGTCTAGCCCTTTTCAACTTGTGCTAACTCGGGTCTCTTGAACTTTCTGGTTCTGTTCATCTTCGGTCACCATTTTGTTCCCATAGGTCCCAATTCCCCTCTTTCTCAGCCCCCAGACCCTCTGGCTGGGTCACACATTCCAAATGCCTCTTCCTACTGGGCCCCCTCAGTGAGCCCCACCTCTCCTTCACCCTCTGCTGTCTATATGTCTTTGGCAGCAAAGGGGTTTCCCTTTCGCTGGCCGTCTACCCCTCCGTGAAGCCCACCTCTACTCCCACTCCAGGTTTTACGCAGTATACTTTTACCTGCTGATGCAGGTCATGGTGGAAGGCTTTGGTGGGAAGGAGGCAGTAGTAAGGACACTGAAGGACACTCCAATGATGGTCCACACTGGCCCCTGCTGCTGCTGCTGCCCCTGCTGCCCCCCACTCATGCTCACCAGGTAAGGTGGGAGGAATAGCCCACCGTTGTTCTGCTGTTGCATTGAGGAACAGCCTCTTTCTGCACTCTCCCAAGAGTCTCTCTGGCTCCCTCAGCCCTGCTTCAAGCCTCTTAGAATCAATCTTGTGTGGAACAAAGCCAGTGATGAAAGGGCAGGCATCCCACAGCCAGCACCCGCACATTGGGCACCCGCCCAGGGGTGAGGGGAGCAGAGGAAGGAGAACTCCAATTTCCATCACTTAAGCTCACTGCTGCCTACACACTTCACCACACAGAGAAAACTGGACTTTGGGCTACTTACTTGTCCCTTCTGCCCATTTTGGTTAAAGAGGCTGGGGTCAAATTTCTGATAGTCCTTGCTCAAAAGGCAGCATTCTGGTAGGGAGATGAGTGGAAGGCAAGAAGAAAGTTCCCAACACTCTTGACATTCTCGCCTCTTCCTATGTCCCCATCCATTTAGCCATTTTGGTGTCTGTTATGACAGCCAAGCTTCAGCCCAGGAGCCCAATGAGGGGGCTGGAAGGTCTCCTGGAGGTGGACATTTTGTGGGTTCATATTCCTAACCCTCTTCTTCCTTCAGGAAGAAGCTTCAGCTGCTGATGCTGGGCCCATTCCAGTATGCCTTCCTCAAGATAACACTGAGCCTGGCAGGCCTGTTTCTCATCCCTGATGGCATCTATGACCCAGCAGACGTAAGCCAGGAGTAAGGGGCAGCAAAGTCCAAGACTCAGTTCCTCTGAGCTCTAGAAGGAATAGCTGGAGCCAACACCCCCTGACCCAGGGCTCCATGGACAGGGTAGCCCCGGCAACAGGGTGGCCGTGAAAAAGCAGAGGCTTGGGCTCTGGTGGGGAGAGGAGAGTGGAATAGGCCAAGGCTTTGGGGCTTTATTTTATTACCTTTCCCATCATGGAAGAGGAGGAAAAGGAGAAAAGGGCTTGCCTTCCTCACTGACTACTTTCTGATCTGCCACCAGATTTCTGAGGAGAGCACAGCTCTGTGGATCAACACTCTCCTCGGTGTGTCCACCCTGCTGGCTCTCTGGGCCCTGGCCATCCTTTTCCGTCAAGCCAAGATGCACCTGGGCGAGCAGAATATAGGAAGCAAATTTGTTCTATTCCAGGTAACTAGAATTTGGATTCGGAGGTGAGACCAAAAGCAGGTCCTGAATCTTCTTAAGCCTAGGTGTCCTGTGAGATCTGAAAAGGATTCCTACTCCTTCCCAGTTTTTGTTTTTCCTGTGCTGTAAGAGTTTCCTAGCGCTGCCCTAACAAAATATCACAAACTAGGCTTAAAACAACAGAAATGAAGTCCAAAATCGAGGTGTCAGCCAGGCCATGCTCCCTCTGAAACCTACAAGGGAGAATTCTTCCTTGACTCCTCCTAACTCAGTGCTTTGCCAGCAATCCCTGGCTTGCAGCTGCTTCCCTGATTTAGCCTCCGTTGTGACATGGCATGTTTCGGTGTCTTGTGTCTCTTTTCCTCTTCCTGTAAGGCCAACAGTATATTGGAATAAGGACCCACTCGACTCTAGCACGAGCTCATCTTAAGTAATTACACCTAATTACACCAGAACAATGATGCTGTTTCCAAATAAGATCACATTCTGAGGTCCTGGGGGTTAGGACTTCAACATATCATTTTAGGGAACCCATTTCAACTCGTAACAGATGTATTACCAACCTTAAATTCTTCTAGTTTTTTTTTCTTTTCTTTTCTACCCAATACTTCCTAAAACTCTGTAATTCTCCACCACCACTAGCTTCAGCATTATCATAATTATGAACTACCTACACCACATGCTAGGTACCTTTCATACATTACATTTGAATTTGTACAACAATCTTCGGAGTCATTATTATCTCTGTTTTACAAAGGAGGAAACTGAGACCCAGAGATATTACTGGGCTTGCTCAAAGGCACGTATGTATGGGACTAAAATTTAAACTTAGATCTGACTCCCAAATCCACCTTCCTCCTTCTCATTACAGTGTCTCTTCACCTTCACACCTCTTCTGAAAATTCTCTGCAAAGCACATTTGTTCACTTTTAACACTTTCATCCTCTAAGCCCAGATATCTCCCACCAAATACAATGGACTTTTAATTTTTTAATTTTTTAAAAATTTATTTTTGAGAGAAAGACAGAGCACAGGCGGGGGAGGGGTCAGAGAGAAAGGGAGACACAGAATCTGAAGCAGGCTCCAGGGTCTGATCTGTCAGCACAGAGCCCAACGTGGGGCTCAAACTCACAAACTGTGAGATCATGACCTGAGCCAAAGTTGAACACTTAACTGACCGAGCCACCAAGGCACCCCTAAATGCAATGACTTTTAGCCCAATCTTGTTTTCTTCTCTCCCCATTCTTTCTGTCTCCTTGCTAGGCCCCTCTCTTAATCCCAAGGCATAGTGACTGCTTTGTAGTCAAGAGAGTGATTTCACATAAATTCTTTGATCTAAGCAGATGCCTCCGAAATATGAATTTCTAGGTGCACAATAGGTAGAATTGAAGGAGAGGCCAGAAGAGCCAGAAATGGGAGTCAGGGACTGAAAGGGCAGAAAGGATCTGGGACCCCAGAAGCCCTTAGGGTCATGCCACAAGGTGAAAGCCCTGTGATTGTCGAGCCTGCCCATGACTATTGTGGGACATGCTGAGTCTGCCTTGAAGAGTCTGATGGTTCAGAAAAGTGCACTTGGAGAGCAAGTACTAAGATAAATGGTGTTGCTGGAGCATCTGGACAGAGATTTTCTTTTTCTTGTTTTTTTTTCTTATTGTATTAAAATATACATAACATACAATTTGCCATTTTAACCATTAAATGTGGCATTAAATGTGTTCACATTGTTGTGCAAGCATTATTACCACCATCCATTTCCAGAACTTCTTCGTCTTCTACACAGAAACTCTGTACTCATTGAACAATAATTCCCCATTCCCCCTGCTGCCCAGCCCCAGGCACAGCAGAGATTTTTCAAAAGGCACCTTCATGGCTCACTGTCCATCATTCTAGGAGCAGGGATCTCAGATATTTGAGCTAGATGGAAATAGTCTTCTCTAACCATCCATCCTTTTCATCCATTGAGTGCTTGCTAGTATCCATGGCTGAAATAGGGAAATAAACACGAACCCCCAATCCATTCTTGTTTCTTGTCCCAAATGTTCATAAAATATTGGGCAGAAGACAAGATTGTAATTTGCCTAAGATTAAAACTCCACAAAATTTTATACAGGTGAGCTTCAACCCTCTACAGCTGCACAGATCTAAAGGTCAGCCAAGTGCACAGCAGAAGGGCAAGCACAGCAGTGGGCCAGCTGGCCTCAGTGCCACAGACGCTGGGTGCATTCTGCCCTTGTCTCTCCTCTGGTCCACAGGTGCTCCTCATCCTGACCGCTCTGCAGCCATCCATCTTCTCAGTCCTGGCCAATGGCGGGCAGATTGCTTGTTCACCACCCTTTTCCTCTAAAGTCAGGTCTCAAGGTGAGCACATAGGGGCTCCTCTCCCATTCCGGGGTGGGCAAGAAGGGAGGGCCAGGGGAGAGAGGACCTCAGAACAGAGGTTGGGCCATCCTGCTTTCTATGCAGAACACTCAGAAATGAATCACCAAGAAATCCTAGTGAGGCTTTCAGGAGACGGTGATTTCTCTGACCACACAAAGAAGAGCTATAATCCCACAGCTTAAGGCCAGCACTGGTGGCCAACTCAAGAAGCCATGGGTTCAATCATTAGCTCCTGGGAGAGAACTGGCTGTGGTTTGGAAGCAGAAGGTCATGCTGATAAAACACACAAATGAAATGGAGTTTAATGCTAGCCTCAGATTGCAGAAGTTTTGGTTCTGGCTCTACCGTTCATCTGGTGTGTTATTTATGACAACTTAGTATCTCCAGGCTTGGTTTGAGGATAAACTGGAGAAAGTGTTGCTGAACTCATATGCCAGGGATGCTGGTGGGATACCATCCCTACAATTTAGCGTAACCTACATTATATTTCACTCCACACTGCAGTGATGAATTGCCACCTTCTTGTACTGGAGACTTTTGTAATGACTGTGCTGACACGCATGTACTACCGAAGGAAAGACAACAAGGTTGGATATGAGCCTTTTCCTTCCCCAGACCTGGATTTGACTTCAAAGTCTGAAGTGGATGGTTTGGACATTGAAAGAGACTCTGTACATATTAAACAGGCACAAGATTTCCTCACTGTCCCTCAACCTTGACCAAATGGGGATGGATTCCATTATCAGCACAAGTTGGCAGATTACATTTGACTATTGGAATGAAGGAGAATTATGGAATAGGATGCAATTATTTTGGATCCTGCCTGGAGAAGGTATTTTAGGTTTTATAATAAACAAAGAGGATAGAGTTTATAACTGGGTACAATGCCTCTGTGGATGACACTATTAGCTCCTGAAGCTTGTATATTGAAAGGTCACTCTGAGTTTTCCTAAAGCCAATGAAAAGGGGGAAAGTATATGGTAGTTTGCCTGATATAAGAACAGGAGTAAAACTCAATCAGGCAAACCTCTGTTTATTGCAGTATTATTTACAGTAACCAAGACATGGAAGCAATGCAAGTGTCCATCAATAGATGAATGGATAAGGAAAGTATGATGTGTGCACTTGTGTGCATGCGCACGTGCATATACATATATATACTTATTACATGGCCATAAAAAAGGATGAGATTTGAGACAACATGGATAGACCTACAGGGTATTATGCTAAGTGAAAAAAATAAGACTGAGAAAGATAAATACCATACAATTCCACTCATAAATGGAATCTAAAAGAAAATAAACGAAAAGCAGAATTGGAACTATAAATACAGACAATAAATTGATGGTTGTCAGAGGGGAGAGGGTGGGAGGTTAGGCAAAATGGGTAAAGGGGAGTGGGAGATACAGGCCTCCAGTTGTGGCATGAAGAAGTCACAGGAATTAAAAACAGAGCATAAGGAATATATAGTTAATGATATCGAGGTGAACACAGTATACTGTATAAACTTGTCAAATCACTAAGTTGTACACCTGAAATTAATGTAACATTATGTGTCAACTAAAAAGAAAAAAGCACTCAACTAGGCAAAATAGTACAAACCCAGTCTTGAAGAAACAGGCTTCTGATGAACAGATGTAATGCTGATGGATTCTGAATGACAGATGTGTCATTAGGGCACTGATGACATTAGGCCTCATAGATCTGGATCAGCCTCCCTTTGTGGGACAATAGCTTCTGCGCAAAGCTGCAAAAGGATTTTCTTAATAATACGGTCACGGAACAATTTTGAGGAGACAAATTAGGATGCAAAGGCAAAGAACTGAAGGCATAGATAAAAGCCCCAAATATATAACACATATTACACACATGTATACCAGGTCAAAAACCACAGGAAATGGAACATTAGGTAAAACCACTTTGCCTTTATTTGGCTAAATGACAAAGGCCAAAATAACTCTGAACAAATTAGTAACACTCACACAGGAAAACAATATACTGAACCCCGATTGAGGAAATCGTCCTGTGGATTGCTGACACTGGGGATGAGGCTAACATTCATGCCAAGGCCAGCATTTTTTCCCAACGTGCTTTCTTCTTATCAGCATCCTCAATACAGGACAACCCAACTGATCAAGTCTCTTGTGTTTAAAACAGTCAGCACCCCCCTAAGAAGGGTGGGAAAACCCTCTTTAAACCTAAAGGAACACAACCTGAGTCATCCCATTGTTAAATCTGGCACTTTTGTTCTCTACCCCAATCTGAGTATTAACATAAAACTTTGGCAGACAGAAAATCTTTAGTTCTTTTGAAGAAAATTAACATTTAATAGTATAATCCCAAGAACATGTTCTACTTATTTGGAAAAATAGAAGCTAGGGACCACTCTTTATCCCATGACTATCTATACTATGAGAGAAAACAAGAACAATCATTGTATGACTTTGAAAAATACAACCTTTAAAAATACTTATATTGGTAAGCTTAAAAAAAAAATACCATCAGTTAAAAACATTGTTAAGGGAGTTTTCTACCTGTATTAGTTCAACTTCTGGTGAAAGTGTGTGCTGACAGAAAAGGAAGAAGCTATGGCTTTGGGGGAATTAAAGAAAAGCAGCAAAATATAATTGATTTGGAAAGATTTTTGACATGAGATCTGGAACAGGGTCAAAAAGGCAACCAGCTCCAGAAAAACAGAAGCTACCCACAAATCAATATAATCCAGAGAAACAAAACCACCGTGAAGAACCATTATAGACGGAATATCCAGAAGCTGCTTGACCAGCTGTGTGGTCGCAAGTAAAATAAGCAGAATCTAACTCAGGTGCTAGGTTATCGGCAATCAGAAAAAGTCAAAAGTTCTCTTGACCTCCTTCATGTTTTTTCTTATTTAGGATCTTCAACCTCCTCATATCCCCACCCTTCTTACCTAAGCCTTAGCAAAATAATGGTCTTTGGCTCTAGCTATCAGAAACAGCTTCAGGAGTACGAACAATCCCTTTCTACTCCTCAAAAGTTTCAACCTCTATTCCTCAGTGCTCCTGAGTCTAGTGTATGAAAAGAGCAAACTTTTTGCCCAACCATCTCAACAAAACTGCTAAATAGCACCTCTTCAGCACAGCTCCTGGGTGTCTGTCTCCATTCTTCAGTCTTACACACTGAGCGCTGAAACCAACCAGCCTTTAAGGCTCTCCCATCTCTGCTACATTTGGCCTATGGCTTTGTGTATGGGATTCAGGGAAACAGCTAATTAATATTAATATTAGAAACTAATATTACCAGTTAAAATTAATATTTGCAGATTTACAGATCACAGGCATGGTCATGGTAGGCAAACCACTAACTTCATTTAATTAGGCACAAATGATCAAATAATGCATCATCCCAACAGCTTCCTCCCTCCACCCATCCTCGTCCATTACCTAGGATCACAGTTATCCCAAAGAAGCAAATATACGACACCATTAAAGTCAAAATTATTTGAGGATGCACTGGTGTTAGGAGACTGAGACTGGAAAGGCTTGTCAGAAGGGGCAAGGGGGCTTTCCAAGAACACGTGCCTATGCTGGCCTGGTAGTCTCACAGTCTTACCAGCACAACGGTTATATTCCAAGGGCAGGGAATGCAAAATGGAGCTCATTGACCGAGTGGAGGAAGAGGTCCCAGGCAGTATACTTGGGAGGACTGACTGCAGGGAGGAAAACCACTTTCTGAGCATCTCCCTTGCCAAATCCATTTGGCTAACATGTACTTCGAGGGAACACGAAGGTGAGCTTCAGTAATGACTTCATCATATTTCTAGACCAGGGAGACTAACAGGCAGAATTCCCAAAGAGGGAAGACTGAAGCAGAAAATATGTGATCCTATGAAGCTGGTTAATGTAGGAAAAGAATAACTTGAATCCTGTTTCAAATGAAGGACTCCAAGCCGAAGCTCAAGTAAACCAGATTTGATAGCAAAAATAGCACTGCATGAGAACAGTGAGAAATGCAGTTTTCATAGGCCATCACAACAACAAGAGATTTCTCTCTCTTTTTGTCCCTACTCTGCCTCTCTACGTGATCAGAATTTTAGGAACCAAGGTAGTCCTGCTGTGCAGGCAGGCAGTGATTCTAGCCTCTGATCCTCAGGCAGAAGAGCAGGTTTTACCAGAAAGTACTTAGAGAGGAGACTATGAGATGCTCACAGCCCTGGCATAGGGGCAAGGAAAGATAAAATGTGGTTTTCTAAGCTGAAAACACCATAATTCCACCCCTACAAGGGGTATTTAAGAGTGACAGGGTGGAGCCTGGACATAAGGAGTTTTCCCCTGACCCCAGCTACAACACTAGTGAAGATGATGGTCTGCTAGGTCATGTAGCTGTAGAATGCTAAAGGCTTCAAATGAGCTCACACTCAACTGCAAGTGTTAAGCTTCAGCATCTCTGATGGGAAATATAAGCAGTGAATCCCCCTGGGCAACCTAACAGGGGAAGTGGGACCATAACCAGCAGGCGCTCGTGGGAAAGGGAAAGAACCTACCATACTCCTGTAATGTGAAGCCATGCTTTGTGGCCTGCTAGAGGGGTAGGGGAGGGAAGTCCCTGCCAGCTGCAACTCTCAGAGGAAAGGGAACACTACCTGGCGCACTAGTTCCAGTCAAGAACTTTCCTTTAAAAAAGAAAAAAAAAAGAAAGAAAGAAAAAGAAAAAACTTCCTTAAGAGGGGCAGAGTTCAAGATAAGGCTTCAGAAAGAGGGTGTTTCCTTATGCTTCTGTGTTTAAATTCTGTGCAAATTTCTCCAAATATTCAGTATGGCTTTGAGCAACATGGATTAACAGATCATGTTCAAACTGCAGACATTTACAAAGTATCCTTTGCAAAAAGCTAGATAATAAGCATTGAAATAGGAGTAGCAAGCCCAGGGAATTACTCCCAGCTGGGAAAATTAACCTGAACTGACCATGTATAGGATTGAGTATTGTCCCACTCCCCTCCTCAATCACAATAAACCTGAAAGTATTCCTTCCTTCAAAGGTAGACTGCAGAAATGAGATTGACAAGAGCTCCCAAATAACTGGGCAACAGAGTTATCTGGGAAGATGAACACAGCAGGAAAACCGCAGATGATGCCATGTGGTCTGGTTCCATCCCCATCAGTGTCTTCCATGGACCCCATTGGGTCCAACACGAAACTCCTCAGGGAGTAAGAAAAGTTAGGCTCAGATCTCCTTCTTCTCACAGCCACATTGACACGTGTACCAGCAGTACATTTAGGGGATTTGTGACTGAGCTTACTCAGTTTTTTTTTAAGGATGCCAAAATTCTGCTATTTCCCCCTCCCCATGAAATCACTCATCAGCATGGCTCATTGCTTGAAGGACTTGGCAAGCTACTTTGCCTCAGAATAGAAGGCAAACACTATAGTGTATCAGGAAGAAAAGGCCTCTGGGTAATACACCACTTCCTTCTGCCCACTCCTCAGGGCAAACAATTGGTTCTACTTACAACATTTGAAAGACTAATTTTTAAAAAATTAATAAAAATGACAATTTCCCTATCAAGATCATATTGAACATAAACAGTAAAGCAAAGTCTGTGGAGAGGGAATATGGACGCAGAACAGGCTTCTACGGTGTACTCAGCCTCCTTCTTGGTGTGAGTGGGTGATGCCTCTTGGAGGATGGGCTGATCCCATCCTAGGTCCTCCTGCCCCAACTTTCTTTTGTAACTGTCTTT